GCAGGAAACACACACACCCCTACATGAGAGCGTGCACATTGGCATCAGTGTGTTGATGCGTGCGTGTGTTGGTGAATCTGGCGGCCCCATCCAGCACATCGCAGGACTTTGATGAACATACTCATTATGCTAAAGAGTGCTCCATGCCTGGGCTTCCCTGCGCCTTCAGGAAAGGTTAACTCAGGATGGTTACACAGCACAGCGAGAGCCTGTGGGCGCACGGGGGCAGAACGGCTCTGGAGGAGCACACTGATGGTGTTAGATGTCTCAGACCAAAAATAGATCTGGGTATGCAGAGCAAATATCATGGGAACATCAAGGCGCCATGATTGAGCCCACAGAATAAACAAACATTGCAGGTGAAGCCACAGCAGCTGAAAGATCCCACATCAGATTTCCCCTCAGATCTATTTGATCTGTGGGGAAAGTGAAGAGCTGCACGGAGGCCAATTCTGTTTTCAAAGATGTCCTTTCCTGATGATTGTAACCTCAATTTAAAACTGTGGTGATTAAAAAAAAAAAGTAGAGACCATCCTTAGTAAAAAAATATGGGTGTGGCCTATACTGATAGATGCGGAACCAGGAACAAAATCCTGAAAAATCGCATGGTTCACAAGTAATGAATGAAAAGGTAAACTGTGGGGCGATACTGTTATCTGAATAAAGAAAAGCTATCATCCATTTCTTGCCTCAGGTGTAGATTTACTGAATTTCTTGACAGGTTCCTAAGATATCCTGCTAACCTAACAGGCAGACCAACTAATGGTTTAATAGATTGTTTGGCGAACTCACAAGCTGAAGGCTCAGATTTTTGCATGAAATCCACATACTGAAAATACATTTAAATTCATATCACCGTACTGATATGTGTTAGATGTAACCTGTCCTATAAAGTTTTGAGATTGGCTAAAAGTGTCATCTGACATCATGTATACCAAGACAGAATTAGTTAACAAGACAAAGAAGAGCAAGTGGCTCAGAAACTGTACAAGAGCACAAAGAACTATGTGCTCCATTCTTCGACCCCCGCTTTCTCTCACTATTACTCTCTTTCCGTCGGAGTCAGAGATTAGCGTGTAATTACATGGGAGATCAGCAAAAAAAAAAACAGGGGGGGGGTAGCAAGGCAGTCTAGGAGAAGTGGTGATGGGGGAGGAGGTGGTGTAGGCCTCGTCACAGGCCGACTGATTGTATGCTTTTAATCCTCGACCTCATTATCACCTCCAGGTCCGGCAGTGGCAGTAAATGAATCTATCTGCCAAATGTCAAATCTTCACACCTTCACCCTGGTAATCACCCCAAGGTGCAAATACAGAAGATAGAATGAGTGAAATGAAGGGAGGCAGACCGGGAGTATGGCCCCTGAATTTCATCAACACAAGCCCCATATTTCATCGTTATGAAAAGCGGCATGATATTTTATTTGTAATTAAATATAAATAATTAAATGTAATATTCTTTTTCTTTAAGGTCAAAAATCTAGATATTGTGCATATGGGATGTGAGGAGTCATTACTTAATTCACATTTGACATTTTGTTGTCCTGAAATACTGATATTTATTTAGGACAGATTTCAAGCAAAGAGAAAAAAAAAGATAATTAAAACACATTAAAAAGTTTTTGTAATCCCTGAAAAAGATGCAGATGCTTTTTTGATTATCTTTCTGCCAGCAAAGCTTGGGCCTGTGGAAAATGTTTGAGTTTTGTTTGCTTTAATTCACTATATTTGCATAATTTCATTACTTAATTTCATTATATTTGCTTAACGTTGATGTTGACGTTGCTGAAAAAGTTTACCAGTCTGTTTGGGCAGCTGCCCACACTGAGCAGAGACACTGAGGCACCAGCCAAGGTCGCCTCCTACACACTTCAGAAGGGTTAGACAGGACAGGTTTTTTATGTTCAGAATCATTCATTTTGTTTATTTGTCTGTCAGATGACAGTACACAAATCATTAATTTGTCTGGTGGCCTCAAAATGTCATCTGATTATTTACTTGTCACCATATGTAACCTGAACCTGTCAGCTTGTCATTAAATTTAATTTCTTTTTATTTCTTTAGAAACCTTAACCAATGAGATAATGGTATAACCATTGAATGAAGCAAGCCCCGGGCGAGGAGGAGCTGATACAGAGTATAAATAGGGACGTTTTGTGCTCTGTAGTCAATCTACTTTGTGAATCTGAAACAGATATTTTGTAATTTGTGAATTTTGCAGTAAATGTTACAACTGAAGAGACTTTAGAGATAAGGGAAACGCTGTACAGTAGGTGAAAGCTGGACCCACATGGGCACTGGGGAAAGTTCTCCCGCAGGCCTTTATTCTAACTGAATAAACTTTCTGCTGAACAGTAGCAGAAAGCTATATAGAAGATTTAGTTTTATAAATATCCATCAGAGATATTAAAACCAGAAAGACTGTAAAACACCAGACCTTCTAGTCTGAGAAACAAAATCTACCTACAAAGTCACTGTTGTTGGTCAACAGTGACTTCACTTCCAGCTATTACATTAGAAAATAAAACAAAGAAACCCAAATCAACTGTAATATTAACAGTATAAACTTAAAACAATGACAAAAACAAATGACATTTGAAGTTGTAAAAGTATTCAGGTATGGTAGTGATTAGTTACATGTCACCTCTGGATGAGGAAGGTAAATGCTGAAAGCCGTTGATTGTATTGCTGTATGGTTGCTGTGTAACGTGAAGACGGACCTGTTCTGTGTATTTTTTTTTTCAGAAGCAAGATAACCCCACATAACTACAGTATAACCACGGCACTACTATATTTTGCAAAATCAGGAAATGCTTGAATAGTAGTATTATTATTGCTTCTTACTTTAAACGAAGGATTCCATGCAGTGCACTACTGTACTGAGTGGGTTTCATGACGTTTGAACCTTTTTAAAAACTCTAGATTATTTTCATTCTTCCCAGAGAAAAACATACATATTGTAGACTTGCACTGCACTTTGCTTCCACTGTGACTGGACTTCCAGCTGCAGGACAATGACTCTGTGATGACTTGCAATATACTTCCAATGGATATGAGCCCTTTGGACAAATCCAACAAAATCTATGCTACCTTGAAAAACTATAATCATGCATTATTGAATTGGCAAGGATAGTGTGTAATAGAGAGATCCTAAACCCATTCTGCCTCTTGAATTATTAACTGAATTCAAATAACAGACAGAATAATTTTCTTAAAATACCTCAATCATTTTTCACAGAGCTTTAAAAAAGGGGTAAAACAACAGAAATGCAGTCCATTTGTCCTGCAGGTAGATCTGGATTTGAATGCAACAAACTATATGGACACTGGAAAACTGGTTGCCAACAGTGATGAGGGATGTGTTGCTGTTTTGGATAAATAACCAACACTGACGCTGTTTAATAGGAAAAAAAGTTGATAATGTTACAGTTTCTCCTCTGTAGCATGGTGGCACATTCCTCATAACCATGATATGAAAGACCTGGGTTTACTTGAAACCCCCTTCAGTCCCCTTTGGACCATTTCACCGGCATATCTGCATGTCTGAGCAACGAGCAGCAGAAGCATAGTTGGCTAAATGTTGTACTAAGACCACAGTAAAATATGATAATTAGTACAAATGGGATTCTTAGGAGGCTGTGTCATCAGTCTGACTGATCCATGATGTCAAACCAGCCAAGCAAATTCAATTAGGCCTGCAATTACTTGCTGGCGCTAGTGGAGACGTATTGGAAACGTTAAATATTGATGGAAACATAGATGCCACATTTGTTCATCCCCAAAGGTGAAAGCATCTCCTCAAGCTAATCACACATGCTAAGTACGAAGCCTGTCCATTCGTCACGCTGAGATCCAGGGCAGCTACACTGACTACTGTCATGAAGAGGCCACTTCTGCAAACACACTGCAGGTTTATTTAGCCTAGCTACAGTTTGTGATCTGATTTCTGGGACATGTTCTTTTTAATCCTGCAACTTACTTTTATAATGGTCAGTTTTAAAATAAAAGTATTCACACCATTTCTCATGACATCTCTTCTTCTTAAGGATTAGACATTTAAAAAAAATCTGCTCAGCCATATTTTAGACTCTGGAGGAGCCAAGGTCTTCTGATTTTAGTTTTTGTTATATTGTCTCATATTGTTAATGTATAACACTGTTGTGCTAAGAAAATAATAGTGGAGAGGTGTGAACAGGGTAGAGGTCACATGCATGCTCAGTTAATTCCATCTTAGACTGTAGACATGTAAGAAAGTTTAGTGCTTAGAGCTTGTTTCTGACAAAAAAAGTACCCACAATTGTGTGTGTTTTTGGACAACGATCGAAGCTTTAAAACCCCCAACAGCTGGAATGGATGGAAATACACTGAACAGGTGTTAAGCTGGTTTGTGTGTGGACTGTGACCTGGTGTCTAACAGTCAACCTGGACCCTGAGGCTAAACCAGTGGGTTAATACATTGCCATCCCCATTTTGAAATGGGGGGGCGGGGTGGCTGTGGCTCACAAGGTAGGGCAGTCGTCTCCTGACTAGCAAGTTGGTGGTTCGACTCCCGGTCTCCCCGCATGCCTAAGTGTCCCTGAGCAAGACGCTAACCCCCGAATTGCTCCCGGTGGCTTGATTAGCGCCATTGTGTGGCAGCTGTCGTCATTGGTGTGTGAATGTTCTGTGTGAATGGGTGGCTTTGGCCAGTGTAACACACTGTGGAAATGCGCTATATAAATACAGTCCATTTACCATAAATAACAGACATACCTGCTGTTAAATTTCTCAGGATGCTTCTCCCTCATAACATGGAAGCGATGTGCAATAGAGGCATCCTGAAAGAGAGAAGAGTTCAGATTGTGCAGTGTTAAGTTTTACTTTATCTTCTCAAACTTTTTGCCCAAATCACCATTCATCCTGGAGCCAGAGTCTAGGGGAAATTTTCAACTTCAAAGGTCCTGTTGCACCTCTACACTGTACTATGTGCAGCTTAGACATGTGTCAGTGTACAATTCTGGGATTCAATTTATATCCCGCTGATGTGAAGAAGTTAGTCAACACCCACAATAGAAATAGATTTATATTGCTTTAACATCCAAGGCAAACTCTCCCTCATTAACTAACTCTTCCAACTTCCCAAACTGTGTAGTTACACCCTGAATGCCACTCGTGTATATTTCTATAAGATGGAGAGAGCTGTGTGCACGAGGCAGCTGAGGGGCTGAGTCTTGGATGGAGAGGTATTGACAGAAGCCCTGATGAACAGCACGTCGTCTCCACACCGGCTAATTAATTAAACACACATTGTGAGCAATCACAGCTCCCAACTAACCTACAGGATGCTGCCGACACCCTGGCAACCATGTTGTCTTCCCCCATATCACATCTTCCTTTTCCATGTCACTCTCAACCTTTAACAGTGCAGTGATCTGTTGGAAGTTTACAGCAGTGGGGATGTCACCAGGTGGACTCGACTGAGGAAAGTGTCCCAAGCCTGAGATGATTTCACACTAAAGATCTAACTTATCTTTTAAGTGTACTTCATGGAAAACCAACCTTCTTCTGAAGCTAAACAAGCCATTTAATTACCATTTATTCCCACAATCCAAAGACATCCAGGTTAGGTTAACTGGTGACTCTGAACTTGTCTGTCTCTATGTGTGAACCCTGTGACACAGTGGCAGTCTGTTCAGGTACCTGTTCAAATTCTCAGTAAAACTTTTCAGTGGCTTTTTATTCATTGTATTAACCTGCATAATGGCTATTTAAATGTACTGCCGGGATGCAAAAAAGACGGCTGAGTAGTAAGGTTAATATACTGTATAATCATATAATCTTGTGCAAGAATGCTAAACAGTGTTTAATAAAAACACCAACGGGCATGAAAAATAAACATGCATAAGATTAGTTATGTCATGAAATTTGCAGACAACAGAACTAATGAACTATGGAGGGAGTAAAACACCAAAATATCTTTTAATTTACACCTCCAAGTCAGTATCAGCAGAAAGTGCTGGCAAGGCCTTTGTGAAAAACAGACAATCTGACAAACACAGCAAACTTGTCCAGCTCTTAAAACATCTCAAGGAAGAGTCAGAGAAAGTTGATCTCAGCTTTCTGGGCTTGCTCCCCCCCAGCAATCTGTTTTGACCGTCTCCATTTTGAGTGGCACTACTGGAACAGCAGCTACAGGGAGGACCCCCTGCTAGCTCTCACTACAAAAATTTAGGAGACGCCAAAAGAGAAAAATCAATAGAGCTTCTCTTGATGTCTGTTCAAGACGCTGTAAGCAGAAGACAAAGATTTCCGCAAGATCCCCACAGACTCACCTCACGCTTCCAAGCCAGAAAGGTGAGCTGGTGGATATATCTGAGAGTTTGTAACTTGATTTTCCTACAAACCGGACAATAGCTGCAAACAAGACAGCAAAAGCAGGTCGTCTCTCTTGGGTTTGGGGTTCTATTATCTGAAATAAGTGGAGTTGTGTAAACAGCAATTTCCAGAAACCTAGAGTGAATACACAACTTGGTCATTCTACTGTATGGCAGTGTACTATTTCTATACTTTGAGTGGTAACAGCTTTTAAAATAAACCATCTTAAACATGGTTAAATGGCATAAATGAACATAACAAAAGAGAATCTATTCATATTTTTCTATGTGGATATAAATCAAAATATGGCACATCATTCATTCATTCATTCACAAATACCTATAAGAGCCCTCAATATTAGCCTTGACATTGGCATTATTCAGAAAATTCCCAAAGTGATTTTTAAGTTACATTAAGAAAAACATTGGCACAATAAAATCCTTGAACATTTTTTTAAGTCTAACACTATTTTCTTCTTTACCTGTTTAATTATTCTGTGACCCTTTTATTTACTTTTGGACCCCCCTGGGGGTCCCAACCCCCATGTTGTGCACCAATGAGTGCTTTTCCACTAATATGGAACATAAAATAGCACAGAAGTATGCAACCTAGCATCAACTTCACATGTTGTTTTTACAGACTGTTCTTTTGGAGCTTTTGATTATATCACATGAGCTTACACATGTTGAAGTGTCCTTGGGCAAGACACTGAACCCCCAAGTTGCCCCCGATGGTTAGAGCCATCGGTGTGATTTGGTGCTGCAGATGGCTGCCTCGGTTCTGTACCAGAAACAAATTCCTTCCGTGTAACATACTTGGCCAAATAAAGGTGCTTATCCTTATCCTTCCTCAGCAGGTAGAGTCTGCCAAGATGTCATTGAACTGTAGCTGTTCAAAATTTGTTCCGAGCACTGTAAGCCAATAATTCCCTGATCCTGTGATAGCCTCAGAATATCCACTAAATGAAACTTTTGGTGAGACTGATTTTCCAAGTGCTACACATTTACTTTGGAAACATTTAAAAACTTGCCTCTCATCCAGAGCTGGACTGCGCATTGTTAAAACAGCCATAAGACCTAAAGAATACAGGACAAGTCAGCAACACCAGCGACACTCCATGACCCCTCGCGGCAGAGGGACGTCATCAGCTCACTCACTCGTTCTCTCCCCCAGCTGCCCTCAAATAATTACCAATGTAAAAATCTGGCACCCAAATTAATACAAGACATGTGTAATGTCATCTCATAGCTCAAAGTTTAGTCCAATTATGAGTGGGCCCCAGCAGTCTGATGTGCCTTTCGCTATGAGGGAGAGTAATAGCTTTGACAGGAGACCCAGGGTCATTAGGGCGACTGACTGCATTATGGTAGCGGAGTGCGCTCAGTGATTAGTTCTGTCTCTCACCCCTGGCCCTGATTGAGATCATTACACTTCACGTCACTTCCACATCCTCCCAGAGGGATGGCTCCATTAATTCTCAGTCCAAGTGGGCTGTGGCCGAAGGTTGGGCTCGAAAAATTTGCAAAAAAGAAAAAAAAAAAAAAGATGGTCCTTTGTAATGGAAGAATTACCTGGGCTGTGGGACCGAAATGACATGGAAAATGAAGTTTTGTCATGGGATTCTTTTTCTTCATTAGTCACCGACAATGATTTGAGTCTGAGCAATCGGACAAATATATATAAGATTTAGACTTCTCTTTAGGTGACTGTTGATTGAAGCACATGTTGAGAGTGACACTCACCATCTTTGGTGGCTGCTACTGCGGATTTCCCCAATATCATTAGAGAAACAATCTACTCTTCATCTGCATAATCTCTAAAGTAATTATTAGCTTGACTTGTCGCATAATCTTTATTGTCATTTTTTTTCATTGAACGGAAAGCAAAACATATTCAATGTAAAATGTGTCAAAAAATATTAACACACTCAAATCCATAGAGAGCTCAAAGTCTTTTAATCCCCCACAAACAACTTCATTTGTTGCTGCCACACCTGCTGCGTACTAATCCCACTAACAGAGCAAAGACAGCGGGGTTGTAACGACTTTATCAACCAGCCCGGACGAAGGTGTTCACAAACTGGTTTGTTCAGCAAAAAGGAACCGGCCGATCACACTAAAGCATCAAACTTCATTATTTCTGGTGTATTTCAATATTAGTTCACATCATGTGGTGAAGAGTATTAAAGAGAAAGATAGCCGATGCATTAGAAACACCTGCCTCCTGAGTCAAAAGTGACACGAGGAGACTCATTCATACCTTCACATCTGGACTACTGTAACTCACATCTTCTGTCTCCTTTTCTAAAACTCTGTAGCTATTCTTACATGTGTGTTTGTAGTGCGTGTTTTTACAGTCTTAGCTGATGCTGTTAAGTCTCTGGTGGTCCCAAGGTCCCACCTACTGACACTGTTTTCCTTTTAAGTTATGTTTACATTCTTACCAAAACTGTATGCTACTGTGAGGCCTAAAAAACAGGCTAATTTCACTTAAACATCTGTAATTCACATTTAAAATAGGCTTAAAGCTGCGTTGTTCACTGTGCATCCCTGTTTATGTTGAGAAGTCGTCTTCTTCTTCTCTGCCTTATCTGAGAAATTAGTTTAGACTCTTTGTTAAAATGGATGAAACTGAGAAATATTGTACACTGGTCTCTGTGAAGGGAAGCATTCAGCGGCTATAGTGGTGCCATCACTCCTACAGCGGTGAGGCTGTTGAATTTGTCTAAAAAAGATTTTCTCCAACTTGTCCTCACAACCACAGTTTTCACTCTTTTTACTTAAGTCTTTAACTGAATGGTCGACACATTTGTGCTCTTCCTGACAGTAGAACTATGGAAACACACAGATTCACAAAAGATGCACAGTGAGCTGCAGAGTAACACGAGTGCCAACCAAGAGCTGCACTCCTGTGTACACAGTGTTAGGCAGGTGGTCATATATGTTATGGCTGATCGGTGGATACTGCTGCCACCCGGGAGATGATACTGCCAACCTAGATTCACTAAAAATAGATTATATTTTCATTTGTTCTACAAGACATTACATTTTTAAACAAGTAGTTGGCCTGGGCAGGGGTTGATCCTGATTATTTGTAATTTTGTCTTATTGGTGCATGGTATGTCTATGACTGATGTGATGAAATGCCTCGTGACTGTCCAGCAAAGTCAATTTCCCCATGTGGACAAATTAAGTATGTCTTTTTCTTGTGGTGTAAACTATATGAATTCATGAACCAGCCTTTTGGTACACACTCATTTTGCCTTTTTAAAATAGCATATAAATAACTTGGCTGTCCAAAAGAAGCTCTGACCCCCGGTCTGTCACAAATTTCCAAAATCCAAATACAAATGTTTGAAACAAAAGATGATGTAACATTTTACAGTTTTGTGTTGTTTTTTTTTTGATATTTTAATATTAGGATGACTGATCAGAGATTTATTTCTCCGCTGTTACCACTTTCCCCTGAACACATCACCCTGTGTTCAGCACTGTAGACAGATCACAGCCATTGTTCTCCTTTATCACAATGTTAACAAGACCTGTCCTCTAATATCCCCTAATATCATCATTAGGGGCCCAGGCTGGAGGTGTTATTCAACTAGCATTTGTAAGGCCATGCATCACTTATGTCCCTGCCACAGTCAGTCTGATCTCACAACATCCAGTGGCTCCCTCCAATGCCACCTGCAAATGTCAATTACCATATTTCCCCCTGACATTTATCAGTAATGCCTAACATGAGCCACGTGAAATCAGTGTCATTATCCTGGAGATGGACAGGAGGGTGCTGATGGCTGTGTAACACCATGCAGATACACAACAAGGCTTGTTTATCGATCAGAGGTGGTTGAAGCTTGAGCACATCTCAATAAAGGCCTAACCAGAATGTGATCAAAACAAATAAATGGACTGATTAGGCTGCTACTGCAGGTGCTGGGTGAGGTTTTGCTATTCAACCTTTAATAATAAACCCAAGAGTTACTGACAGAGTTTATTTTTCAGCACATCAGTCTACACTGCAGTGGCTCTTGTCTTTGTTCTGTTTGTATTTTGGTTCAGCTATTGGCACCTCTGCAATTCTGCAACAGACTCCATGTCGCCGTGATTAAACCTAACTTTGGTGTGAAGAGTTTCAAAAGGTGCCATATGCTTCTTCCAACAGCAGTGCACAAGTGTGCCATTACTGCAACCCTGCAGTCACAGTCACGTATGCTGTGCCACTGTTCTGTGTTCATAGATCGCTGTGGTTATTTTGGCTCTTGTTATCATTTTTATTAATCTGATACCAGCCTGCTTTAAAAGAGGTGCAAAGTTACAGTAAGACACCCGCAAGTGCTATTTTAACTGTTCTGTGATGGCACAACAATTAATAAGATATAAATACTTTAAAGGAGTCAATCACATTGTCAGGGAATAAAAGGGGAAAAATGTTTTCAACAAGCAGACCAACTTCATCTTCACAATACCAGAAATGTTCATTTTTAGCAAACAAAGTGAATGAAAATTGCAGCTTTGTCTGTTTTTACATATAGCCGTTAAACCAAAACCACAGTAGTGCTTAACTGTGTTAAACTTTTGTCTTTGGTATTTATAGTCTTATTTGTATTGTTTTTAACATTTTAGCACATTATCGGCTTTTTGTAATTGCTTTGTAGTTATATTTTGTGTTGTACTCTACTTTAATTTTTGCTTTTCTTTCCTGTTTGTTGGGACCCTTAACTCCAGATTTACTGACTAACAGTAAAGGAGAAAGACATTCTAGTTTATTTCTATTTAAAAACATCTGGGTATTTTTCAGTGAAAAATCAGTTTTAAAAATGAAATTACAAGT